ACAAGGCTTCCGAAATCCGAAATATTTACTCTCTCGCCAATCTCTTTTTCTTTCCTATCTTTGAAATTTAATTAATTGTGGTCTCAGGAGTCATGAGGTTCGAACCCTCGACGAAGGATGCAGTTTTTCGGTGCATAAGTACGGTCAAAACTGCATACCATTACATTATATAAATGCAAATTATTATTTGAACCAGCGACTGGAATTATTTCACATCGAGTATCTTTCCTTGGAATGTAAGCATTGTTTTCATCAGCATTTTGTTTTTATCATTTGTTTGTGACAAAATTGGATAATCTCTTTAAATCAGCGTAAGGCTTCGTTACGTTCACACGTTTGAAATATAATTCTCTAGACAGAAAAAAAAACTCTTATACCCATCATGCCAGCAACAAACAAATGTGATGTTGATGGTAGGGCAGAGAAATGTGGTACTATTGCCGATTGTGATTCGGTAGATCCTTTTGACTATGATAGTGAGGACAGTGATATTTTGCTTCCTGTAAGAAAACGTCCACGAAGATTAATAATTGATGATGACTCCGATGATGAAGACAGCATTTATCAGCAATTATCGGAGCAATGGATTTGGGAAGAAAAAAACAAACCACAAATCTGGAAGTATACACAAACTTCTGGCATAAGAGCAGCAATTTTAGACCAGTTAGGTGAAAGTAAAAAAGAGAGACTTTTTTAATATAATGTTCAACAATGTGTTTTGGGATAATATTGTCCAGGAAACGGATCGATACGCAGAAAAAATAATAAGCTGTGAACATACAACAAAGATAATTGACGAAACTTGGATCCCAGTAGGTTGCAATGAACTTAAAATATACTTTGCATTATGCATAATAATGACTCAAGTAAAGAAACCAAAAATCCAGATGAACGTCCGAAAGAGCAATTATAGAAACACCCATATTTAGAAAAAGTATGCCACTAAGAAGATTTTTGCAAATCACTAGGTTTCTCCACTTTGCAAGTAACGATGTGACTGACTACAAGGATAAATTACGTAAAGTGAGACCTGTGATAAACTATTTTAATGACAAATTCAAAGACGTATATGTAATGGAAAAAAATATCGCGATAGATGAATTATTAATGAAATTTAAGGGACGTATGTCTTATTGACAATTCAATCCCTCAAAAAGGGCAAGATTTGAGATTAAATTTTATAAACTGTGCAAGTCAGAATCGGGCTACTGCTATAATTTCAAAAGATATTCAGGAAATGATAAAACAAATCCTGATTACAGTGCATCGGAAACTGTGTGATAGAGTTATTGAAATCTATACTAAAAAAAAAGGACATACATTATTTCTAGATAACTGGTATTCTTCGCCGAAATTTTTTCTAACTTTGGTTAAAAATGGAATAAACGTTCTTGGGACTGTACGTTGCAATAGAAAAAATATGCCAAGAGATTTTGTTAAAGCAAAATTAAAAAAAAAGAGAATGCGTAATAAGGAGCTGTAATGGCATACTAGCGTTGAATTGGAAGGACAAACGAGACGTTCATATTATTTCAACAAAGCATGAAAGTGCAGAAATGATTGCACAAAACGATAGTCACCTAAACTCTACTTTCAAGCCAAGATGTATTTTTGATTATAGTAAGGGAATGATTGGTATTGATCGCCAAGATCAGGTATTAGCGAGTTTCCATATTATGAGAAAATTCGTGAAGGGATATCGAAAAATCTTTTTCTACATATGTGATATGGCACTTTTGAATTCATATATTCTCTACAACAAAACCAGTATGGCAAAGAAACAGAATTATAGTGAATATAGACTTCGAATAGCTGAAAGAATATTACAAACCGTGCCATCGCAAAATTATAACAGACAAGGACCATTATCGAACGGGGATATACCAATGAGGCTACAGGCGCAACATTGGGGTCACTTTCCGAAACATATAGATCCCACGCCATTGAAAAAAAATCCCACAAGAGCTTGCAAAGTATGTACGAAAAACAAGAAAAGGAGTGAAACTACGTGGGAATGTAAAAACTGTCGAGTTGCGTTACATGTACCTCATTGTTTTGAAAGATACCATACAGTTGAAAACTACTAATTTTCATTAAATTAACTAAGTATTAATTTAAAATTGCTAGTAATTCACTATCCACATTGAAATAATAAATTGTTTTTTTTAACTGATCAATTGATCATGATTACGCCCCAGACGTCTTAAAAATAAAATTTGTCCCCAAACGTTGTTTATTATTTCACAATTCCTATTGTAGCCCCGAAATATACTTGTCATAAGAAGTATACATCTTGCGCCAGTTCGGGCACACGGCTGAACAGCTGAATGGCACGGCGCGCGACCGAACTTCTTGTTTACTATGGCTCGCGCGATCGGCAGATAGCGTGTAGGCCAAGGGGTTAAGGAGGAAACTTGCTGGCAAAATTCTCAGAACCATATTGCGTAATAGAAGCTTCAATGGTACTGCGAGTGGGTATTAACAAAATTTTTATTGTTTAGACTAATGTGACATCCAATATTGTCTAGAGAGGGCCTGCACTGCGAATCTTCCGAGGGGGGGGGGCCTCAGAGGTGTCAACATAATCCTTGGAATCGAATGGTGGGTGGCAAATTGCTGGAACCAAGCGGCTGTCGACAAAGGTGCCAATGGAATTGAATTACTGATGATAAAATTTCAATTGTTTAGGCTAAAGTTAAATTCTGAAAGGAGAACCTCGAATCATTCGGGGCAGGAAATTTCAAAGGTGCCAACATAATTCTTGGAATCGAATTACTGATAACAAAATGTTTAAATTAATGTGAAATCCGATATTGTTAAGGAAGAGCCACAGCAATGGGTAGAAAGTATCAATGGCCCCGACATAATTCTTGGAATCGGATGGAGGGCGGCACATTCGTGGAATTGAATGGCAGATAGTAATTTCGTGGGATCGAGTGGCGGACAGCAAATTCCAACCTCAAGGTCAAGGGTGGGAGGTGTCGAGAAAATTCCGCGGTGTGAAGGAAGAAACGTTGCATCAACATTTTAGGGGGGTGGAGGTTGGATGATAGGGGGAGGGGGTTTGTAGGAAAGGCGGTTGGAGGGGAGGGCAGACCCATCTCGCACGCATAGACTCGCAGTGAGCATGTGTGTGTACCCGTGTTCATGTGCACACACACGAATTTATCCAGAACCACCACTGTATACCTACTGTAATAAACTAGTGTCATTAAAATTTATTAGGTTAATTGTCAATATTTCAAATGGTTGCTTTTAACCAACTGAAGTTGACAACTTTTTATCATGTGCTTTTAAACTTGTATATTTTCGAACCTATAAGATAAGAATTTGTAATATATCAAATAAAGTCATGTAGTACCGATGTACTATTACAAGATGACTTAAAATTTAGAAAAAAATATTTAAAAAATGTTATAAACATGGAATCAGAAGTCTTCCATTTTAATTAAAACAGTATTCGTGGAAGAATTTCACTAGAACACCTCATTAGCTTAACCATTTTAGTGCCAGGGGTTTTTAAAAATCCGTGTCGGATTGTGCCATGAAGCGCGATAGCGTTGCGAATTGACGATCGGGACCAAGCATCGCGATACAGTTCACCACAGTACGCGAAAAGCCCGATCGCGCTGCGTGGCACTAAAACGGTTAAAGCGTTTAATGGCAGATAAAAAAAAATACGTGTCGCCTAGTTTTTAGTCTACTATAACATATTATAAAAGAAATCAAATCGGAGAGATTGACCTGGGGGATACCTTCTTTGTAAGTCATAAAGTTTTTTTTCTTTAATCAGAATTTTTAAAGTGTTAGGAAAATTCTTGGGTGCTCGCGAGTCATGTGTCAAAGTTTCAAATAGTCCGGTCCAATACTCTTAAAGAAAAGTTTCTTATTCGAATTGGCTGATTTGAGAGGGGTCCACTTAAGGCGATGTGAAAGTGGAGTCGAAGAGGTCTCGTTTATGAAACTTATAACCGAACTGGGTGTACCAAATCGTTTTAAACCTTACAATGTGATAATAGAGGCTAAAAGGAAGCTCACGACGCCCATGAAATTTCAACTTTAAGATAATTTGTTTATAGCTATTTTCAGAATTTTTTATAAAAAATGAAATTTCGCGAATTTCAAGACTTACCTTAGGGTCTCTTTATTCATGCAGTAAAATTTGAAACAAATTGGAACACCCAATTCAAGAAATAGTTTCACGAACGATTGATCCCTCAGATTCTACTTTCACATCCCCTTAAGGTGAAATGAGGTGAAGTGAAAATTGCAGCAAGGCGGAGCATGTGCACGATTCGAAGGCGAGTGCACACGAGCGCAGTCAAGCCCTGTGAATTTCATTCGTGTTGTACATGCCCGCTTCTCATCGAGATGAACATGCTATTTTTTAATAATTCGTACGGAAAATGCAACTTTTTGACACTTGCTGAACGCATGCAGTAGTTCATTTCTCCTTCTTGTTTTTGGACTTTAGTAGTAGATGAACGATTTTGAAAAATTAGCCATTGACAAAGCCATCGACAGTTTGACAGATCTGAAGTTTATCGAATCTCGTCGGTGGTGACAAGTTTGGTTGTCAAAGATAAGTGCGAGTAGGCTTAAAAAAAATAAATAAAAAAGAAACAAAGAGAGACGAAACGTAAAAAGGAAAAGTTCTATATAGGAAAATTATAGAGGTACGGTCTGCACGTGAGCATGTGTTGTTTCGCTTCTACTACTCTCAGCGATAGGAAATCGGTCACTTTGAGGACACTATAAACGTGGAAAGTCACATTTTCTATACGGGCTTCGCAAAAAAGGTTTTTAGAAGTATTCTGAACCTTGTTAACTTGATATAACAGGAAAATATATTTTCTTTCTTTATATAAATGAAATGATTTAATTTGATGCTAACGCATAAATGGAAAACCTGATTTGTCCTACGTAGTGAGACCATTACCTAAAACATGAAACAGAAATAAAAAGTGGAATGCAGCATTGTATTCAATCTGCTAATTTACCTTGATATTTAACAGCCGAAGATTGAATGCAGTATTGGCACTGGTTGGAACAGGACTCAAGTCGCATCGAAGTCGTCTGTGAGATTTCTCAACGGTAGATGACTCTTCTTCTAAATCCAACCGCTTACCAATAGAAAATACGTGAGACTGAGTAAGCAAGATATCTTCTGAATGTTGTTTTTCGCTGCTGCTCGCCGGACTCACCACCTTACTTTCGTTGTAGCATCTCGGCATTGCACGCACTAATTTTTTGAAATAATTACAATTTTTAAACTTTTTCAATGCTACAGAGTGCTTTCAATTTGTGTCAAAATCACAGATGAAAAGGCTCTTTTTTCTAAATACCTCTTTATCGTCTTAATTATTTCTTTTCTAAGTAGAAATTGAATAGACTGTCCTTCGATATACATAAATTATTTAATTTCATACATAATACTACATAATATTCGATTTCACAGTAGCTCAACTTGTCGTTTTTTACTTTTGTTGACTCATTTTCGCTAATCTGCAAAAAAAATAATTCAAACAAAAATTATATACCTTATGGCTACTATAAAATGCAGCTACACTTTTTAACTGATATCAAATAAAAATCTAACGGTTGTGATATCAAAAGATTTTCAAACAGCACAATCTCAAATACGATATATGTACTAAAACAGGATACATACACACAGGAACGTAAAAAGAATTCGATTTTCCAATAACCTTTTTGCTATAGTATTGTCTGTGGATAACATCTCTATAAAATGTTATTTAAGTGGGGCGCAATGCACTTAAAATTTTCAAGAAATCGATTTTGACATTTTTGCATATCCTAACGGCTCTAATACATGTTTTCAGCGGACTTTAAGCTATTATTTCATTGAAAATTCAACAAATTTACGAAATGACAAAGATTTCCTAAAAGCGATCGAGTGCGCTTGGACTGAACATTTCCTTCGAGGGAACAAAGTTGAACAGCTTTAAGCCATCCGTGGATGCCTAACGCTCTTCAGGAGCATTAAATCTATGACACTGGCATTGACAAAATTATTACAGCCCGATTTAAAATAGGCTAAGGTTTATTATAACGGTTCCAACGGTAAACGTGCACCACTGTACCGCGATAATTAATTTGGCGGAACTTCAGGCATGCGCGACGATAGTTCGAAGAGAGTAGGGAGGCCCGAGGAGAGAGAACCGCGTACCACGAGCGCGAAGAACTGCAGATACGGTGTCTTGGATTCTGGATTTCGACCCGCAAGGAGCGGCCGAAAATCTAACAATAAGTTTTGAAGCGCAAAGGATAAGTGAATGCCTAAAGGTAGTAACTTTCAATTTCAGGACCCCAATTTCCAGCAGGTCTAGCACAATCGCCACTCATGCTTCCCTCTCACCGCTTTTCCTCCAAACAAGCTTTTCCACCAAATTCCCAATCGGTCTTGGTATTGCACCAACTCACGAGCACCCTCGTCGCACTCCAACCCCTTTCACCAGTCAATATCCGTGACTGGCTAACCTAAGATAAGTAGCACTAACCCTTGTCGAGCACTGCTCCGAGAAGAATCATAGATTCGCGGGAAGCATTAGTCCACGGCCTCCTATGACAAAGAACAATTCGTCAAAAACTAACTATCCTTTAGATCAAGGCTGATCAGCCACCCTTCTAGGATTAGGGTTCTCACTTCGACTTTAAATAAATAAACTCAAATTGAAGTCCGTTGCCATGGGCGAGTCATCAGCCCCGAAATATAATCTTGAAAGCGAGCTAGAGAACGAGTTTAGGAGCGGAACGTCAGCGTGACGTCAGGACTAATTCACATCCCCATCTCACCTCATCTAAAAAGTACCCACAAAACCTACTATTGATTATTCCAAATCCTGTCGACTCGATTCTATGATGAACAAATAGAGCACACCGCTGATGGAATAAGACGTTCTAACTGACAAGGAAGGTACCTGAGGTGTCCCCCTCCGATTTTGTTCATTTTTAAATATGTTATAGGGGACTAAAATCTAAGGGACCCGTGTTTTTTTTTATCGGCGGATAAACACTTTTAGGGGGTGAAATCAGGCTTCAAAGTTGGCCGTGAAAGGGGGTGAGTTTGCTGTTTCATATAGAAGTACTCGACCGATTTTCATGGAACAACCGTCAAAATGTAGGGAATGAAGAATTATGAAATACGCATTTGGAATTTTTTGAAAAAAATCATTTTTAAGGGGTGAGCCACCCCTTTTAATACTTCTTTTACCCCTTACGCGAGCAGTAATTGCTCTATCCAAATGAAACTTGCTTAATTTATAGACCGAACAATATAAAAAAAAGCATATTTTGGTTTTTTTCGAAAAACGAATTCTAAGGGTTGTAACAACCCTTTAATAAAATGATGTATAATCTCGTTTTAAAACCAGCTTTGTACGACTTTCTTGGACTTAAAGGACTTTAATGATTAAAATTAATAAAAGAATACGATCAGGTACCATCCGATACATTCGAAGGGTAAATTACCTCTTGGGTTCAAAGGAATGTGATTCGTAGAATATTAGACAGTGGAGTTAGCTGTCCTCGCAACTAGGGCATAGCCGAGTGGTAACGCCGCGCGAGCGAGCAATATGCAGTGCCAGATTTTCAACCACTATATGTAAGTAATATTTCATTCTCTCATCTTTAAGAACTACAGTTGCAATGAAAAATACAAATACGGTTACGTTCAGTTTTTAAAATAAAACAATTTAATCCGTCTACACGATTCGTCCAAACATGTGATTCACTTTCGATTTTTCCTTCACAGTAATATTTGATAACAATCGTTCTTTGATATCAAGTAGACTGATAATGGAAATCGAACATAACGAACGAAACCGAACATACCAAAATGTTACTTATATATAGTGGTTGAAAACCTGGCACTGCATATTGCTCGCTCGCGCGGCGTTACCACTCCGCTACGCACTAGTTCCGAGGATAGCTAATTCCACTGTCTTATATTCTACGAATCACATTCCTTTGAACCCAAGGGGTAATTTACCCTTCGAATGTATCGTATGATACCTGATCGTATTCTTTTATTAATTTTAATCATTAAAGTCCTTTAAATCCAAGAAAGTCGTACAAAGTTGGTTTTAAAACGAGATTATACATCATTTTATTAAAGGGTTGTTACAACCCTTAGAATTCGTTTTTCGAAAAAAACCAAAATATGCTTTTTTTGTATTGTTCTGGTCTATGAATTAACCAAGTTTCATTTAAATAAAGCAATTACTGCTCGCGTAAGGGGTAAAAGAAGTATTAAAAGGGGTGGCACACCCCTTAAAAATGAATTTTTTCGAAAAATTCAAAATCTATGTTTCATAATTTTTCATTCTCTACATTTTGACGGTTGTTCCATGAAAATCGGCCGAGTGCTTCTATATGAAACAGCAAACTCACCCCCTTGCACGGCCAACTTTGAAGCCTGATTTCACCCCCTAAAAGTGTTTATCCGCCGATAAAAAAAAACACGGGTCCCTTAGATTTTAGTTTTCTATAACATATTTAAAAATGAACAAAATCGGAGGGGGACATCTCAGGTACCTTCCTTGTAAGGCTTGACGAAATTTTCGGGGGCCAGTGGAACGCGAAATAGCGTCGCGGAACGTACTGCGAACTCGACGACACTGATGAACTCTTCCAGATGTTTCAGAGTTAATGCATGATTTTGGCTAAGTAGGATTTGGAATCGTGGCAACAAATTGCGGCGAGCGAACTGAACTTAATTTTCTTCTGACCAAAGGGGTCGTATTCGGGAAATTAAATAGTCTGCTACTGTTTCCTGCGTGCGATTCCGCAAGTCCTGGAACAAGCTAAACCAAAAATCGGGATCTCCGAATCTTACTAGCCAATCTCGGTTGAAGTCTTCCCAGGACTGCCATAATCTATTCACGCGGCGCTTTTTGAACCAGTACATGGCCAACCCGGTTAGCAAAAAGGGTAACGCGGTTCAAACGTCCGCATCCGATATTTTGGTTACTCGACGCCTCTGTTCTAATCGAAGAAGAAATGCATCTGCATCCTTGCCCTCAGCTCTGGAAAAATTGATTCCCCATTTTCTCAAGACTTCGTATGCCGACCAGATAGTATTACGGCCCTGGGGAGAGTTAGATGGACTCCGACTTTAGGTCCTAGGTGTGTCGAACTGAACCCGACAGAGCATTGGAATCTCAGACAGAGGATAACCTCCTTAAGGGGGGTCTGAAAGGGGTTCCAAAAATTGACTTTCCGCACCTGGACTGGGAGAAGGGACAAACCGATAACTCGAACCTCCTTTAGTAGAAAATTCCTTAATCGCTCCCGTTGAGCACGCGGCAATCCTGTAGTGGTCAATACCCTTCGGTATAATTCTAACCTCAACGCGTCTCCAGAGAGTTTCCCAACCCACAAAATATCAAGCTTAACACTAGAACTATCGGCGGGAATGGACTGTGAAACCTCGTAGCGATCGGACGTATTTACGGAGGGTCCCGCGGCATATTCGGTTTCACGAGTTAGGTTTCGAGTGTTTTGCCCGGTTCAACGGTGGATTGGACATGGAGGGACATAAGTCCCACTTTCTCAAGGTTTCCTTGTGAATTTAAAACCCTAATCCTCATCATCACCAAAGGAGGCTCCTGACTACAGAACTCTCATTCGAAGTCACCCATCCGTCAGTACACTACCGAGGAAGATCTACAATGGCAATTAGCTATGCCAAAGTTACCGAAACATTCGTCTTCTGTAGCAAAGACCAATCAATTATTTTAGAATCCAGAGAGGGAATTCAAATGAAAGGATACGTGAGTGGTCTAAGCAAGATCATCGATCCAGCTAATGTCAGGTTCGCGTCTCGTATTTCTAATGGAAGAATCTGTATCTACCTCACCCATAAATGACTAGTAGAGCAACTCGTAGACAATAAGACACAGATACAGATCAACGGAAGCACCTTCAAAAGCAAACAAGCTTATCACTAAAAATGAGTCATTCTCTCCAATGTTTGCCCAGTTATTCCACACAACATAATAGAAGAAGAGTTAGCCAAACTGTACATTAAAACAGCGTCCACAATATTCTTCCTCAAAGCTGGATTGAATGAATCCGGATTTTCTCACATTTAAGTTTTCGATGACATGTACATATAGTACCAGAAGACACTGATCAAGTCCCTCCATCGATACAAATTCATTTGGAGGACACAAGGTACTGGATATATCTATCAATAGATAACCTCACATGCTTCCAATGTAAACAAGACGGACACGGTGCTAAATACTGCCCAACGGTCGTACCCCAAAACAAAAGTGTCCCCGACAAATCAACTAATAAAACAGTGGTGCTTAAGCATAACGAGGTAGGAGTACATTCAAGCTCAAACGAAGTAAACCAAATTCACACGGAAAGCAGTTCCCAGGTAATTCCTATGGAGATAAACAATACTATTCAAACCACCGAAAGACCATTGTCCAGTACTAGCTCTAATTCAACTACACCACATAAAAAGA